AATAATGGAATAATTGAAAAATTTAAACATCGAAAAATCGAAACATGAAAAGTTCGAGAAATCGAGACATCGAAACAGCCCAAACGAAAAATTAATACCTGAGAAACTTAAAACTAAAAAAAAATGTTAAATCGAAAAATTGAAAAACTGAAAACTCGGGAAATTAAACAACCGAAAAATCGAAATGTCGAAATCGCTATAAATCGAGAAATCGAAATATGGCAAAAATTCGAAAGATTAAAAATTTTAAACATCAAAAAATTGGAAAATCCGAAAATTGAAAAATTTACAAAAAAGCGAAATATTGAAAAATTGAGAAATCCAAAAACTTGAAAACTGAGAAATCGAACATCAAAAAATTATTAAATCAAAAAATTAAAAAAAATTGAAAAATGTACATTTAAGAAATCGAAAAACTGAAAAATCGGAAAAGCGAAAAATTCAAACCAACGAGAAATGAAAAAACCGAAAAATCTAGATTTAAAAAAAACCGAAAAATTGAAGGATTTTCGACAATTTCTTCAAATTTCAATTTTTGAAAAATAAATAGAAAAATCACAAAAATTGAAATGTCGAAAAATTGAAAAATCGGATTGTCCAATAATTAGAATATACAAAAATTTATAATCTCAAAAATCGAAATACAGAGAAATTTAATAATGGAATAATTGAAAAATTTAAACATAGAAAAATTGAAACATGAAAAATTCGGGAAATCGAGACATCGAAATAGCCCAAACGAAAAATAACTGGGAAACTTAAAACTACATAAAAAAAAGTTAAATCGAAGAACTGAAAACAGAAAAATCTGGAAATTGAACAACCGAAAAATCGAAACATGGAAATCTCTATAAATTGAAAAATCGAAAAACTGAAAAATCGAGAAAACGAATTATGTGTTAAAAATGCGAAAAGCATTTTAGAAATCGAAAAATTGGACAATCCAGAAGTTGAAACTTTTTCAATAACTGAAATATTAAAAAATTGAGAAATCCAAAAACTTGAAAAACTGAGAAATCGAAAGATCAACAAATTTTAAAATGAAAAAATTGGAAAATGTGTATTTAAGAAAGCGAAAAACTGAAAAATCGGAAAATCTAAAAATAAAAAAAATTAAGAAATCATAAAATCGAAAAATCTAAAATTGAAAAAAATCAAAATAAAAAAACCAAAAAATTGAAGGATTTTCGATTCTTCAAACTTCGATTTTTGAATAATAGATAAATAGAAAAATTCCAAAAATGAATATGTCGAAAAATTAAAAAAAAACGAGAAATCAATTGAAGAATGTTCGATTCTTCATGCTTGGATTTTTGAAAAATAGAAAAATTCCAAAAATTGAAATGTCGAAAAATTGAAAAAACGGATTGTCCAAAAATTAGAATACATATACAAAAATTTATAAATCGAAAAGCCCAAAATTACGAACACCAAAGAATTGAAAAATTGAAATATCGAGAAATTGAAACAAAAATATCGAGAAATCAAGAAGTCGAAATACCCTAAACGAAAAATTAATAATTGAAAAACATAAAACTAAAAAAGAATTGTCAAATCGAAAAATTGAAAAACTGAAAAATTGGGAAATTGAACAACCGAAAAATCAAAACATCGAAATTTGTATAATTCGATATACCGAAAACCGAAAAATAGAGAAATCGAAAGGTCAAAAATTCGTTACGCTAAAAATTTTAGAAAGTGAAAAATTGGGAAATCTAAAAATTGAAAAATTCCCAAAAACTAAAATGTTGAAAAATTGAGAAATTGAAAACTTAAAAAATCCTAAAATTGAAAAAATTTTGAAAATTGAAAAAAGTTCATTTAAAAAATTGAAAAACTGAAAAATCGGAAAACCGAAAACCTAAAAAAAAAGGAAATCGAAAAATAAAAAATTTTAGATTTAGGATTCTTCAGCCTTCGATTTTTGAAAAATACATAAATAGAAAAATTCCAAAAATTGAAATGTCGAATAAATCCATCCATAGTTCAAAAATTGGAATAAGTACCTATACAAAAATGCATAAATCGAAAAGCCCAAAAATCGAAACACCAAGAAATAGAAAAATTGAATAGTTGAAAAATTGATAACATCGAAAAATCGAAACATGAAAAGATCGAGAAATCGAGAAATCAAAATAGCCCAGTCTAAAAATTAATAACTGAAAAACTTAAAACTAAAAAACTAAAAAATCGAGACATCGAAATATCAAAAAGTCAAAAATTTTAAAAATCGAAAAATTGGAAAATCTAAAAATCGCAAATTCCAAAAAACTGAAATATTTAAAAATTGATACATTCAAAAACTTGGAAAACCGAGAAATCGAAACATAAAAAAATCGTAAAATCAAAAAATTTGTAAAATTGAAAAATCGGAAATCGAAAAAATTAAAAGAAAAACCGGAAATATAGAAATCGAAAAATCTGAAATTTAAAAAAATCGAAATTGAAAAACCGAAAAATTGTAGGATTTTCGATTCTTCAAACTTCGAGTTTTGAAAAATAGATAAATAGAAAAATCTCGAAAATTAAAATGGCGAAAAATTGAAAAATTCGATTGTCCACAAATTTGAATATATATAACTCTATAAATCGAAATGCCCAAAAATCGAAGCACAGAAAAATCGAAAAATTGAATTAGTGAAAAATTGAAACATCGAGAAATGGAAACATGAAAAGGTCGAGAAATCAAGTAATCGAGATTCCCCAAACGAAAAATTAATAACTGAAAAACTTGAAACTAAAAAAAAATGTTAAATCAAAAAATTGATAAAACTCAAAAATCGGAAAAAGGAACAACCGAAACATCGAACTATCGAAATTTTTATAAATCGAAAAATTGAAAAATCAAGAAATCGAAATATCAAAAATTTGAAAAATTGATAAGTTGGAAAAACTAGCAATTGAAAAATTCCCAGAACTGAAATATTAAGAAATTGAGAAATCGAAAACTTGCAAAAATGAGAAAGCGAAACATCAAAAAATCGTAAAATCAAAAAATTTGAAAAATTGAAAAATATGCATTTAAGAAATGGAAAAACTGAAAAATCAGAAAACCACAAAATTAAACACAAAACAAGAAATCAAGATATCAAAAAATCTAAAATTTAAAAAATCGAAATTGAAAATCCGAAAAATTGAAGGATTTTCTACTCTTCAAATTTCAATTTTTAAAAATAGATAATAATTTAAAAAAATTCAGAAAATCAAAAAATGTCAAAAAATTGAAAAATCAGGTTGTCCAAAAATTAAAATATACAAAAATCGATAAATCGGAAAGCCCAAACATCGAAACAGAAAAATCGAAAAATTAGTAACTCTGAAAAACTTGATACTAAAACAAAATGTTAAATCGAAAAATTGAAAAACTGAGAAATCGAAAAACTGGAAAATCAAGAAATCGAAAAATTCAAAAAAACAAGATAAGGGATCCAAAAACCTAAAATTTAAAAAAATCAAAATTGAAAAAGCGAAAAATAGAGAAATCCCAAAATTTGAAATGTCGAAATTTAAAAAAAATTGGATTGTCCACAAATTGGAATATGCAAAAATCTATAAACCGCAAAGTCCAAAAATCGAAACACCTGAATAACTGAAAAATTGACACATCGAGAAATCGAAACGTCAGAAGATCAAGAAATCGAAAAATCGAAATAGCCGAAGTGAAAAATTAGTAATTGGAAAATTTAAAACTAAAGAGAAATCGCGAAATTCAACAACCGAAAAATCAAAATATGGAAATCTCTATGAATCGAGAAATCTATGTATGTATGATTACCTTGTCCTGTTATTGGGCCTTCAGCCCGTTGGGCATTGTATTTAAATAAATAAATAAATAAATAAATAAATAAATAAATAAATAAATAAATAAATAAATAAATAAATAAATAAATAAATAAATAAATAAATAAATAAATAAATAAATAAATAAATAAATAAATAAATAAATAAATAAATAAATAAATAAATAAAATCTAAAAAATCGAAAAGTCAAAAATTTTAGATCTCGAAAAATTGAAAATCTGCAAAACCTAAAATTGAAAAGGCCAAGCTTTAAAATATCGAAAAAATGGAGGATGGAAAAACTGAAAAATCCAAAAAACTGAAAAATTTATAACCGAAAAATCGAAAGTCGAAAATTTAAAAATTCTAAAAATTAAAATATCGACAAATTGAATAAAAAATTGAAAATTGAAAAATCGATAATTTAAAAAATCAAAATATGTATGGAAAAATTGAGAAATCGAAAAGTCGAAAAATCAAATAATTGATAAATCCAAGAACCCAGAATTATTTTATATATTTATATTTTTTTCAAATTTTCAATTTTAGATTTTTCCAATTTGTAAATTTTTCAATTTTGCAATGTTTGGATTTCCAGTTATACGATTTCTTTAATTTGCAATACATATTTCAATTTGACAATACATTGTCGTTTTTTCAATTTTGCATTTTTTCGATTTTTAACTTTCTAAATTTTAATCTTTCGATTTTTGAATTTTTGTTTTTTTCAATTTTTCAAGTTTTTGGTTTCCAATTTTTAGAACTTTTAGTTTTCACTTTATACATTTTCGTTTTTTCGAAACTTAAAAATCGAAAAAAGTTGATAAACCGAAAAATTGGAACGAAGGAAAAATGAATCGAATCAAAAAATTTGGAAAACCCAAATATTGTAAAATCGAAAAAACGAAAAATCTAACAAATGAAAAACTTTTAAAATCAGTAATTGGAAAATGTAAAAATCGTAAAATTGAAAAAGTGAAACATTTTAAAATCATAATTATTATTACATATATAAATGAAAATTAGAAAAATTGCAAATTAGAAATTGAAGAAACGAAAAGTTGAAAAATAGAGAAATAGAAAAATCGAAAAATGCAAATCGAAAAACTGAAGAAACAAAAACAATAGTAATCTAGACTGCGGCAAACCATTCGTGGTTACAGTGTCAACCCATCACCCGACACCTATCAAAATTAATTTTTGTTCGATGTTTTCTTCAGCATGTTTGACTGGATGCAAGAACCCACCGAGCCCAAGCTCCACGACTGGATCATAAAACCCAAAAAGAAGCAAGTCCAGTGCGAGCCACCGCCCAAGAGCGCCCAGAAGAAAAGCCAGAAGCAGAACGGTCCGGGCCCCATCACCTGGACCGTCAGCGACATCGCCAAGGCCGGCTGCATACTCACCCAGCCCCCGTTGCTCACCCACTTCGAGGACGAGCAGGAGATGCGGCGCGTCTACACGCTGATTTACGACGTGTTCAGACGTAAGTGTGACCGCAGGCTGGCTGCGCGGCTACTTATATCAGCACGCTGATAGTTTCGTGTTCGAGGCGTGACAGCAATTGCATTTCGTGGCTGACGTTTCGATTTGGGTAATTGTGCTTTTGTGCTTTCAGACAAGAACGTTTTGACGCAGGCTTTGAACGATATTGGCTTCTTCATGGTTCACCCTGAGGTATGTAATGGATTTCCATGTGAGTCGCGTGCGGGGCTTAATTGGGGATGTTTTGCAACTGCATTTAACTTATGAAGAAATTTTAATGTTTGAAACAATGCTTGAACTGTCGTTTGCACGGAACGGTGAGGGTTGTTATGATTTTATGATTGGGGTGAGTTTTGTGGGTTAAGGTCTGGAGTAAGTAAGGGTGTCGATTTAATGTTTATTTGCACGGAAGGGGTGGAATGAAACGAATTGCTCAGTTTGGCGTTGATTTGATTTTTTTATATTTTTTTATTTCATTTTCATACTTAGAGCTCCAAAAGTCCCAAAGTCATGATGTGATCTCTCACTTCATTGTTTTTTTTAACGAGAGAAAGTTAATAAGATAACAATGGAAAAACCGCATTGTTACATAAAATTTAAAAAGATAAAGTCAGCTGTCGTCGGTTCAAATCCCATCCTCACAAATCAATCTCTCAAGTCATAAAGTACAAACAACTAAATTGGAATAATGAGGGTTGACGAGCCTGGAACTTAGATCTCATAACAGGAGCGTAGATAGTCGAAAAGGTATCAAGAGCACAGTCTGATTAGAGTATTCTATTACAGCGCCATCTACATAATAATCATCATTACCACCCCTTACAGAAATCTGCAATCTTCCGTAAAAATTCAAAGAATGTTTTGAATTTTTATAACTTCATGGATTAATACCAAAACCTAACATAAGTTTATTTGGTGTATACAGGGTGAGTCACTCAGCGCTTGGTCTCCGACATCTCACTTATTGTTATTTCTAGACAGAGAAAAAAAAGTCAAAAACCAAAATTTTACGTTTGTTTGGGGACTACACTCTAAAATTGTTTTTAACTATGCGGACTGTTAAATATATTTTGATTGGCCTCTGCTTTGGCTATTCAACACGGTTTACTTTCGAAATTCCGATGCGACGTTGCCACGTTACTCAAATTTTTTTTGAATTTTTTTGGCAGGAGAATTCACAAAAAAAAATAGCTATTAGGTTATTTTTAAAAGCTAACTTATAATATTTTGTGAAAGGACAACTAAAGGTACGCGCTTTGTTGTAGTTTTAAATAAATCAAATTTTAATATACAGAGTGTTTACTTTACAATTTTCAAATATCGATATTTTCGCACAATGATTTTTCACAATTTTTTTTGTAAATAATGTATCTATTGACTGAAAAAACATATGTTCAAGTCTTTTTATGAATTTATATTTGGATTCAACACTCAAAAATTCATAAGAATTAGCTATCAAATTGAAAACAATTTTTCAAAAGTTAAAAAATGCACACTCACTTAATAACTCATCTGTAAATCTCTACTTCTCTCAAATTTAAACAGGTCAATTAATAGTCCTTCAATTATTATCTGGTTAAAAATCAAAAGACCGGTCAACCTGCAACAGTACGAAAATTCCCAGGAAGATTTTTTGTGCTGTCAAAAAAAATAAGGTTAGGGTGGTTGTGGTTTTTATTCAAAACTCGTTGTTTTTGTTTATTTTGCATAATACCAATTTCAATTAAAAATCCAGGATTGCCAACAGACTCATTCATTTCTAATTACGCGGTAGTACCAACTAAATTCAACACAATCGATTAGTAACTGTTATCGGTATTGCAGATTTCTTCTGCTGCAATTTTAGTCTTTAATAGATGGCGCTTAAATCACAAGCGTTACCAAATTGTCAACTTCACTGAAGAATTGAAAAATTGAGGAATGGAAAAACAAAAATTCAAGAATACGATAATTAAAAAAAATCGCGAAAATGAAAACGAGAAATTGAAAAATCGAAGAACCAAATACATAATTGAAAAATCCCAAAATTGATATATCGACAAGATGAGAAATCGGAAACTTAAAAATAGGGAAACAAAAAATCGAAAATCCGAAAAATCGAAAAGGAAAAAAATTGAGAAACCGAAAAATTGAAAAATTTAAGATGTGAAATGTTGAAAATTCCAAAAAATGAAACATAAAAAGTGAAAAACTGAAAAATCGAAAAATCGAAAAATTTAAAAATCTGAAAAATCAAAAAATTGAAGAATCGGAAAATTGAGACGTTGAGCAATCGAAAATTCGAGAAATCGGGAAATGGGAGATTCGAAAAACCGAAAAATCTAAAAGTCGAAAAGTCAAAAAAATCATGAATGCGAACATTCGAAAAGTCGCTTAATCGAGAAATCGAAAATTTAAAAACGCCAAAAATTGAAAAATTGCAAAATTGAAGAATCGGAAAATAAAAACACGAAAAACCAAATATTAAAAAAAAATCGTTGAATTGAAGAATCGAAAAATTGAAAGTCGAAAAAGTGACAAACTGAAAAATTTAAAAATTAGTACTTGCTAAGATAAGACTGATTTTGGCAAATAACATAACCTCTAAAACAAGAGAGGGTGGGTGGGCGGGCCTAGTACTTGTTAAGATAAGACTGATTTTGGTGACATACCTTTTAAGAAAATAGAGGGTGGGTGGGGGGCCAGGACTTGCAAAGATTAATTTTGGAAAATGACATACCTTCTACGAAGATAGAATAAAGATAAGATAAATAGACGTGGAGTTATTCAATTATTAATTATTTTCAAAATAAACTAAATGATTTTTTTAATTATTGAAATTTTGTTAGGGGTTGTCTTCTTTTGATGATTACTAATAAAGTCTGTAATAATTATTTACACAGAACTTCCTTCGTTCCTGAATGCTTAAAAATATTTCGTAATTTGATATTTCTGAGAAAAATTTCGTGTGAGAAAAAAAATTGAAGTTTTGGCGAAGTTGCCTAACAATTAAAAAAAAAATACGATTATGAATCGAAAAACACTGCGTGTTGATGGTCCCAATTTAAATTCTAGAACACAATCATGCACAATGTTAAGAGTACGTCGAGAGACATATCAAATTCGTATCTAGAATTATTTGTTTTTTCGCAAAAAAATATGTTTTGCGAACTCCGCTTCCATCGCGACCTAATCCAGAGCAGTTTCTCCCTCCAGCTAGAGCTAACCATCTCCCACATCTGGCTCCTCTTCTACGACCTCTACCACCGCGCCTTCAAGAAGCGCGAGACCGCCGTCGTCGCCGCCGCCACTCGGCTCTTCCACGAAGCCGGCTTGACCGCCGCCGAGTCCGCCCTGTGGGAGTTCCGCACCAAGCTGGCCGCCGCCGTGGCTCGGCTCCGCATCCAGCACAACGCCCTGTCCCTCAGCGACCTCCTGCCTGCCCATTTACGCGACGACAAGATCCAGGGCTACGGCAGCACCACCCCCGTGACGTGCTGGGTGAACCTGAAGAAAATCAAGTAGGTGTGACTTTAGTACTGGAGGGTTTTGCAACGTCGGTTGCAGGGGCGTCGGCGAGCTCAAGAACGAGATCGAGAGCGGGTTCGGAGTGAAGCCGGTGGAGGAGACGCGCCAGCTGGGGCCGCGCACCTACCGCCTGGACCGCCACTGCCCGCACATCCTCGCCTTCCACAGCTCCATGAGGACGGCGCTGGCCAGGAGCGAGTTCGTCAAGAAGCACAAGCTGGTGGTGCAGGACAAGTCGTTCTGCCTCGGCCCGGCGACGTTCTTCAAGCACGTGACGGAGCTGGAGCTGTGCGGGAGTGTGATCCAGACGCACGTGAACTCGCCGAGGACGACTGCGTACTTGGCGACGATCTTGTCGCAGAACGACAAGATCAAGCGGCTGATGGCGTTCAGCGCAGGGGGGCGAAAGGGGGAGTACGAGAGCTACTTGAGCGAGCTGGGGATGACGAACGTTCTCATTTTTTCGGATAGGTTGATTGACGTGTCGCCGGACGCCAACTACATGGAGGAGGTGGTGGCAGTGTTTGCCACGCCTCCGAATAGTTACTCAGCGGTGAACGATCCAATCGACTTGGTTTGCAGTAGAGGTGGGGATCTGTCGATGCTGGAGATTTTGACTGAGGCGGAGGAGAGCGAGGCCGGCAGGGAGAGGGTGTACAGGATTTTAGACGAGCAGAGGAAAACGTTAAGATTCGCGATGTCGAGGCCGCAGGTGAGTTATACCATTGTTTAAGTATATTATAGTTGGACAACCTAATACAAATTTTACTTCGCCTAAATACTGAGCTTTAGGACAAGCAATCCAGGGGGCGTGGGACAAATTTTTCGTCAACGCGCATTTTCACTACAGTGAGCCAACGTATTAGGTTTATTTCACTCTACATCAGATGGCGCCATCAAACATTAGCAAAGGCCAAACACCCTTCACTCTGCTCTTATACGAGGAGTTATCCATAAATCCCTAATTAACATTGTTCCGTAAACAGTAATGTGTATAAACATATATGTACAAAATATGAAAATATATTTGACATAAAAAATATGAAGCAACGCGTTGTAACGTGATACGAAAGAATTGAATTTAAATGAATTTGACGCCTATTTTTATTTGACTATATCTGAAGACTGACAGAAACTTTCCAAGGGTTTTTAAACTGGTATAGGGGAAGAGGGCCCAAAGCGGGCACCATAAGGAAAAATATTAAAAAAGTAGTTTATGGATAAGCTAGATCTTTTAAATTTTTATATTATAATGCTTGATTTAACCCTTTTCAATGATGCATAACTAAAATTGAAGAAAGTTTATTAAAAAAAAGTTAGAAGCAGATAACTAAATCTTTACAACTGCCCGCTTTGCCCTACGGGGAGGCCTAAAGCGGGCATTCAGCTAGGGCAAACCAGGAAATGGTTAAGGTTGGCGTCTGGTTCGGTTTCGCTCTGTACTAAATACATTGAAAACATTGTCGGGGTTTTCGGAATTGCATTTTAGAAATACTGAAGTCTGCAACCAAAACAAAAGTTAAGTAAGCTCATTTTAATAGATTTTGACTTTTCGAGAGTTATTTACCTCAGTCATGGATATTTTTAGGATTATAAATGGTATCAAAAGAAACCTGACACTTTTCCCCAGAGGACCTTCTATCTCAAAATGCAAACCTCTTCAGCACTTCGTCAGAAAATGCATCAATGTGCCGATTAAAGTGTGATGTAAAAGTTGCTCAACTTTATAATTTTTTTTTTTTTGTAAAAACTGTAGACCAGATATGAATATAAATATGAAGGTCCCCTGGATTGAAGTTTGGTAATTCGAAATATAATTTTTTTAAAGCGATATATCTCGTATTTTTCTTTTTGGTTTTTTCACTTTTTAGACTTCGTTTTATCTTCAGCAAGTTCTTCTTTTATAATTTGTTTCACAGACTCCACATTGCCTTTGTTCTTCTTTTCGAAACAACTATAGATATTTAGTAAATACACTAGAAGGACAAACCGGACAAGTGCCCATTTCGACAATTAAAATTGCAAACAACATCTAAACTCAAAATGATGCGACAAGTGGCAGTTAACTGCTACCTTATGGTAGCCGAATAAACACAAATTGATTAACGAATTTCATTTTTAGCTTAAAAATCACAAACATAGAAAAAACAGATGTGACACACTTTGCAATATTTTTCAAAATCATGTGAAAATTATATATTTATTACAGCACATAATTGGGTACTCGCAGGAGACCCGGGCGACTGATGTGAAGTATGCGGGGGGGGGGGATGCACTATGTCCGCGCGGTTAGGGCGCACCATCTTTTGAAACGCCAAAACTAAAGAGAATGCCCGCTTTAGGCTCTATGCCCGCTTTAGGCCCCCTTCCCCTAATTGTTTAGTTTTACAAGATTAAAGTAAAACAAGATTTTAACTAAAATGTAGATTCGTGGTGTTACAAAAATATTAACACAAATGAGAATATATGTTCAAAGTAAATAACAGAATGACATAAACTTTCGGCGTTAACATTACAAACAATTACAAGAGAGAAAAAAACGCATTAAGAACTTAAGAGGCATGTTTGTAATATCGAGTTGTTAAAGGCTGCTTTGAAGACTGTTTGTTTCTATGAAAAACAATTGCTGTTATCGGACATTTTGGTAGATTTTGTTCCAAAAATACGAGATAACTAATTGTTTCTTGAACTAGTTTCCGTAACTTCTAAAATTTAAAAAGGATACGCCGTTCTGCTGTAATAAAATCTAGAATAAGCTCAAAATCACACTAATATTACATCTGATTTTGTTAACCACATGAGTATAATTTACATTAAAATAAGTTACAGACATTGTTTGAAATGTTTATTATAGTTCGAAAACAAGATAAAATAAATAAATAAATAAAATGTGCAGTTTATAAACTTCAGAATTTTAGTAAAAAAATAATCATGTTTGAAGCTTTATTTTGTCTGTTCGATTTTATTGGGTGTATTGGGCCCCTCTCGGGATATAACATCGACATCAGTGCACCGACCCAACGTTCTTCAACCGATGGGATGATTTATTACTTTCGTTATGCTGACCCTACACACAGCGATTTGGTTTTCGGATTTTCGGCTAGATCTGCACAGCTCTTTGCGTACTGCACACTGACATAGAGTATTTTGTTCACGCGAGCATCAAAAATATTCCCTCGAAAGCACTTCTTCAAGTGTTATTTTTTTTAAGATGTCATATTTGTCAGCGTTTCCAAAATTTTCTTTTTTTGCACAGGTCAACTAATTTTTCGTAAACCGCATTTTAAAATTTTTGTTATTGTATTTTTTACTTTTTAATTTTCTAAGGCATGAAAAAATCCCATACCTATAGGTTTCTATGAATTTATTAACGAAATCAATTGATAACTTGCGCGCCATTTTGTGTTTATTAATACCAATAGTGATTATGATAATTTTATAATTATCATTTTAACCAAATTGTGTTCTTCACTTCGCGAACGACAGCAAACAATTTAAAATTACCGGTAGTCAAGCACCTGAAAATCCATCTCTACCAAATATGTCTTTCTTGGCACGATTTGTAATCCGAAGTCTCCCTCCACATGCAATTTTTCGACGCCTGAGAACTTGTTTGATCTACAAACCAAAGCACACTCAGCCCAATATCGACTTTAAGCGATTTATCTATAAACCGATATTCGTTAGAGTTGATCTGATACACATCCACTACGAAGAACTAACCCATTTCGACCACTGGACTTTACAACGAATAAGTGAACAAAGTTCTTGAACATCTCAACGATTTAAAACATAATGTTCCCGAATGACAAAATTTACATTTCAAATTGTATTATCAAATTACACTCACCAAAATTTGTCACGAAGAATGAAATGACGCAAGCTCCAAATTTTACAATAGTAAAATTGTAGTTTCGCCCGTTTACGGTTTATGCATCCGTGTCGAGTTTTCACCTTAGACGTCAAGATTTTTGAAAAAAAAATCAACATTTCCCAATTTATAATGTTATTTAAATTTTAAAAAGTAGAATAGTCCTGATCTTGTGATTTATACCTAAATACGCTATTGGGATTTTTCGGCTTGTCGATTTCTCGATTTTTCAACTTTAAATGTCTCAATTTTTCAATATTTCAATTTTGGGCTTTTCCGATTCCTCCATTCTTTAAATTTTCTATTTCTTGATTTTTTTATTTTTCGATTTCTCAATCTTTCGATGTTTCAATGATACGATTTTTCAATTTTTGTCCTCTTCAATTTTACGGTTTTTAAATATTTCAATTTTTCAAATTTTCACGTTTCTAAATTTTCAGTTTGCCGATTTCTAAAGTATTTTTTTTATTTGTCCATTTCTGGATTTCCTAAAGTTTCGATTTTTCACATCTTCAATTCCTCAATTTTTCGATTTTTTAAGATTACGATTTTTCAATTTTGCTTTTTTAGATTTTCGATTTCTCAATTTTCCAATTTTTTAATTTCTCAATTTTTTGAATATTTCTTTCAGTTATGAGATTTTTCAATATTTCAATTTTTCGACTTTTCGATTTTTGAATTGATGGATTTTTTTTGATTTCTCGCTTTTTTCCTTTTTGGATTTTCAATTTATTGTAAACTTTAAATTTTTCAATTCTGGGACTGTTTAATGCTTCGATTTCTCGATTTTTAAACTTTTCGATGTTTTAATATTTCATTTTTTAAAATTCTAGGTTTTTCGATATCTCGAGTTTTCAGTTCTTCTATATTTCAATTTTTCAATTTTTCGATTTTTTGAATTTTAATTTTCGATTTTCCGGATTTTCTTTTTTAAAATTTTTCGTTTATTCAATTTTTTATTTTTCAATTTTTAACTTTCCTTTTCGGCTTCCGACTCCTCAATTTCTCGATCCTCCGATTTTTCGATTTCTCGAAGTCTCAGTTTTTTCATTTTTCGTTGTTTCGATTTTTGGATTTCTCGGTTTTTCGATTTTTTTCTTTTGAGCTTTTCAATTTCTGGATTTTCCAATTTTTCAATGCCCCGATTTTTCAATTTTTCAATTTTTCAAATTGAATTGAATTTCTCGATTCTTCAATTTTGCGATATTTTAATTATTCATTGTTTTAAATTTTAGTTTTTTCGATTTCTCGATTTTTTGACTTTTCAGTTCTTCAGTATTTAAATTTTTCAATTTTTCAAATTTTTGCGTTAAATTTTCAGTTTTCTGATTTCTCAATTAATCTATTTTTGATTTTCCCACTTCTCAAAGTTTCGATTTTTCAGTTCTTCAATTCTTCGATTTTTCGACTTCGCTTTATTGGTTTGTCGATTTCTCAATTTTTGGATATTTCTTTCAGTTTTGATATTTTTCAATACTTCGATTCTTTCATTTTTCGACTTCTAGATTTTTCTATTTTTTATTTTTGGATTTTCAGTTTTTTGTTTTTTATTTCAATTTCTCAATTTTTCAACTTTTTCATATTTTAATTTTTAAATTTCTAGATTTTTCGGTTTCTCGAGTTTCCAGTTCTATATTTTAATTTTTTAAATTTCCGAATGTTTAAATTTTTTGAGATCTCAATTCATTGAGATTCGGATGTTTCGATGTTTTGATTATTCAATCTCTCGCTTTATCAATTTTTCCATATTTAAGTTTTCGATTTTTCGATTTTGGCCTATTTCGGTTTCTCAGTTTTTTGATTTTTCGACTTCTTGATTTTTCGAATTCTCGATTTTTTGTCTTTTGATTTTTCGATTTCTCGATGCCTCAATTTTTGAATTTTACAATGTTTCGATTTTTCGATTTGTTGGTTTTTCGATTTTTTGCTTTTCGGTTTCTCGATTTTTCGATCTTTCGATTTTTGATTTATCCGATTTTTCAATTGTCCAATTTTTTAAATTCTCGACTTCTCGATTCGTCGATTTTTCAGTTTTTCGATTATTAAATTTTAGATTTTTTTTTTTTGATTTTTTGATGTTTAGATTTCTCCATTTTTCAGTTTTAGGATATTTTAACTTTTCAATGTTTTAAATTTTAGATTTTTCGATTTTTCAGTTCTTCAATATTTTTTTATTTTTCAAATTTTGACGTTTCTGAATTTTTAGTTTTCGGATTTTTCAATTAATCTATTTTTTTATATTCCCATTTCTCCACTTTCTAAAGTTTCGATTTTTCAGTTCTTCAGTTCTTCAATTTTTCGATTATTCAGGATTTTGATTTTTCAATTTTTCGATTTTTTAAGTTTGCGATTTTTAGACTCTGCTTTTTTGACTTTTCTGTTTCTCAATTTTTTAATTGCTTAATTTTTTGATATTTCGTTCAATTTTGTGATTTTTCAGTTTTTCGATTTCTCAATTTTAACTTTTCAATTTTTAAATTATTATTTTTTTTCGATTTTTTGAGTTTTCAGTTCTTCTATATTTCAATTTTCGGAATTTTTCAATTTTCGATTGTTCAATTTTTTTTTATTTTTCGATTTTCCAATTTTTCGATGTTTCGATTTTTGAATTAACCGATTGTTCAATTTCTCGATTTTTAAATTTTAGATTTTCCAATTTTTATTTTTTTATGTTTCGATTTCTCGATTTTACAATTTTCCCATATTTGAATTTTTCAGTGTTTTAAATTTTCGATTTCGAGGATTTACTGTGTTACAGTAGTCATCAGTCATTACTCATAAAGAACGATTATTGCTGTGCGTTAAAATGCCTACATACTGATAAGCATGTACATACAAGACACATTTAAGGCTGTTTTAGTATAATTTTTGCAATTTTAAATTTATTTCTTGATGTCTAATAAATCGTATAGATTTAAATGGTGATGAATATTTTGTGATACAATCTTAGGATAAAATGCATTTTAGTTTCAAAAATAATATGTATTTAATGATTTGACTACTGTTAATAAAAAAAATACGTAAGAAGATGTTCATATTGAATGAATTTGGTGTTCATAGTTTGATGATAACCCATACCGCCACTTCATAGTGAAGCGAGTGAGATGTAAAATATATATTCATTCTTTTCTACATGGGAAACTAATTGTCCGTATAGATTGTCCAACTATAATATATTTAAACAATGGTTATACTACACCAACACGAAACCGATTATTCGACTGACAGACGATTTTAGATACAATTCGTTCTATATGAGACACACTCGGGAATCGAGGAAGAGAACGGAGGAATGATAGAAAGGACGGTGAGGGAAGTGAACAAGAACGCGAAGCTTCACCATGCGACGTTACAAGGGAAACTGATAGTGCAGATCTTTCCAGACGCTGTTAGTGGGGTCCTGAGTGCTTCAAAGTCTATTCGATTTTTTTTAGGACGAAAATAAAGAAATCAACAACAACGAGAAGCTAGCTCTGGACGACCGCAAGAGCGAAATCAGCGTCATGACACCGGAAACCGTCAGACTATCGATGGATAGCGACGAGAAACTTTTTGACAATATTACAGTAAGTATACGATCTTAAATTAAAGTTAGTTTCAAAGTTGTTATACTTATAGGTTCCCGAAACCGACATTTTCGACGTCCCCGCGCTACCTCCGCTCTGCCCCAGTGAGAATTCGTGCATTGACTACACCAAAGAAGGCTGCTTCTTGGCCCTCGTCCAGCGCAAGGTCCGTTCTTCTCCAGTATTACCCCCAATAACCCTTTTTTCCAGGAGGTCATCAGACTCGACAACAAATACATGATTCAGATGGCGGAAAACAGGGGTCTTTTCGGCCGCACCTCTAGTTCCAGTACACGAGCCAAAGGCAGCAGAGGTCCGCGAAAAAAACAAGACAAGCCCCCGAGTCCCCCTCTGCGGACGAGGCGGAGAATCAAAGACACCGAGGTCACTAAATTCACTCCCCAAGACATTTCATGGTAACGATAATCGTTACAGGTGGCTAGGATTGCCGCTCCCACGCATACCTTCCTGCAGCACACCAGCAGGACGTGCAACGTGGAGCGGTGCGTGCGCTGCCGCGACGAGGAGGAGAAGGACAAGGCCCCGGTCTACAGGCAGTGGTGGTCGGAGACCACGCGGCACATCATGGCGCTGCGCTCCAACTTGATCAAGAATAAGGTTATTCCTTCTAGAAAGGGCAAGGAGATTAACGCAAAGTCGGTTATTGACACTTTTATTTATAATAGTAGTAAGATTGACGAGATTGTTGCAAAAAGCAGGGGCTCCGATCAGACGAACGTGCCGCTGTTCCCCAAACTGAAACTGACTAGGGAGCATAAGGTGGACAAGGTGCAGTTGCAACTGCCCGTCACTATGGTAAGATTCTACTGATGATGGTCGCTGTGATATTTATAGAAGAAATTGATCAATAAAAGATATTTTCGTACACAAGACTCGATTTTTTTATAGTTTATTATTATTATTAAATCTGCACTGGTAGCTCCAAGTGTTGAAATTTTTCATCAAAAAGACAATCTGCCAAAATGGAGACGAATTTTCCTTTTTCTTCGTTGTTTGAAGCGACATCACAAAAATTACGCAGATTCCTGTCCCTGACGAAACTTCCAATTTCCGTCTGTCAAATTTTCGCTTCATGAAAGGGACCCTAAATCGCCGGAAACGGTGAGGCTGACAGCGTCTCCTACAATTACAACTCATACTCAAGAGACCATCGTGATTTAACAATTTTATTGAACATACATACCTGAAGGGGCTATAAAACTTGGTGTTACACAAAAATAGCTAATACAGACACTTATATAATTGTATTTGTGGAAAAGTGCAGTAATTCTAGACACCATACAAACCCCGAAGTTTAAGGTCATGTTTTTTATTAAAATTAATTTTATATAAAAATTTAATTTATTAAAATCGTTAGTTACAGCATAAATATGTATAGAAATCGTTTACATAACTTTTAAATGCTCATTTATAATCTTTCGGCAGCTTTAAAACACGGTTTTAGGATTCAAGTCTTAACAACGTAACGAAGCGAGTTCCTAGCACCTCAGTTCGTGCCCTTACACGAGCACCGACGCCGGGGGGGTGATATCGAAGGGAAGTACAGCATAAGGGCCGAAACGAGACTTCGGTTAGAATAGTTTACAATTCCTATCGGCTTCTCAGTACTAACGGTCGCGGAAGGTTGTTTTTACAAAGAAAGTTGAGTGTTTGAGTTGAGTGTGAATAGAAAAATTAAAAGTGCATCGACACGTTCCGGACACATAAATAGACGTTAAAATCGTACGATTTGGTAGCAAATCTTTATAAAACAACCTTCCTTTTATAAAATATATCTAGCAGACATCGCGCCAGATGTAACGTCCCTCGCGCAACGCCGTAACATTTTGCTAAAAATCTTTACTTTTAACCATGCATTTATTAATTTCGGTTTAAGTGCTTTGATCACACCGGTCGCATCAACACTGACTTCAGTCGCTTTACAAAAGTAGTGTTATTTCTAGGGCTCAAAAACAACGTGATTACCATTGAAAACTCGAGCAAACTTTCACCGTTTGCTTGAATATTGTCCAGAAAACACTAGTAATTTGCTCACCGACTCGTCCACCCTTAAAACTACCTATTCTAGACGAAAGAGATAAATATGTACATATATACGAAACCCTATCGTTATCCATAAAAGCCGATCCGGTTTAAAACCAAAAAAGTCGACAAATTGAGCCATAAGAGCGAGTTTGAACCCGGATCGGTCATCAATTCCTTTATGGTTTATACACTTAGTACATCTAGTTTGGTTCGTTTAAGATCTTATAAACACTAAGAGACGCTTAAAGAGTGCTGGCGATGTGGGGTTTAGCCGTGGTCGACGCGATTTCCGAAAGACGCACGTCGATAGGCCTGCGGTCGTCGTACAAAGTAGGCGCCTGAAGGATTATCCCCGCCGTCCCCACCAGCACCGCCAGCGTAAAAATCCACAGGAAGAGCCGGTCCAGGACCATTGCCACGTACTTCCAGTCCTCCTTCACCTGCAATCACACCCTTAACCCGAAACCCTCAAGTCAGAACCAGTACCTTCGTGGAATCTTCCTCTCTCCTGGTATGATCCGCGATGAACCTCACCCCGTCGATCGCCTTGTGCACCTCCGGACACAAGTACCAGGCGTTGCTCTCCCGGCACAGCGCGTCCTCCAAAGGTCCCGGTCCCAACCCGTTGCCCAGATCGTCCCCCAGAGGCAACCCCAGTCCCGGTGGCGGCGTCGTCCCGTGCACCCGACACGCGTTCAAAGCCCCCGCCTCCAGCTCCCTACGACTCCGCGTCAGTTTCGCTTTAAACACAAAACAGTTTACCTTGGCGTCAGCTCGTCCCGCGAACTCGCGCTCGGAAAGAAATTGGGGTCTTCCACCAGGTCCTCGGTGTCGGTGAAGACCGCGGGGTCCCGCAGCTCCAGCCCGTTGCACGTGCGCACCATCACTCGGTGCGCCGACGACAAACTAAAACACGCCTGTTACTGGACGTTCCCGGAATGTGAGGGTCGTACTTTTTCCTGTCCAGCTGGTAGTGCGGCCTCCGCATCACCAAGAGGCGCGGCAGGATGTGGATGAACACCCGGCGCACCCACGGCGCCATGGTGTGGGTCTGCGGCGAGCGGAAGTGCACGTTGAGGACCACCACCGTCACGCAGATGCTGCAAAGCACGGTCTTAGTTGTGAGCGACACGGCGACACTGCGTACCTAAAAGTGTCTAAGATCATGGTGAAGAGTACGAATTTGCCCAAAAGGGGCACCACCAGGGAGGTGGGCGGGATGATTTCGGCCAGGAGGAGGAAGAACACCGTCAGCGAGAGGAGAATGGATATCGACAGGCTTACCTGAAAGACATAAATCAGCGGGGGGATGGCTAAAGAGATACTTACTTTTTCGCCGCTGTCGGAAGGCAAATAGAACACGAGTACGGTTAAAAAGGAGATTCCCATACATGGGATGATGAGATTTACAGTGTAGAAGAGGGTTTTGCGTCTCATAGTAATGTTGAAGGTTATATCTAGATAGGGCTCGTCACAACATGTATAAAATTTCTCGTTCCTGAAAGAGATTTTAATATTAAAGCTTATTTTAATATGAAGTCGCAATATTGACGGTGAAATGTTGGGGGCGGCGGCGAAGATGCATTGTGGAGTTTATTGGACGCGATGTCGCTATGAATGTAATAAAGTTGGATAAAAGGGGGCGTGGAAGCGGTATTAAGATGTTTTCTGTTTTAGGGTTCATACGTAAAAGAGTGCACTACATTCTACAGCTCTAAGACTTTTATATATATGTTACAGCTAGTATCCGAAATCCGTTATTATGCATAATAACTAGACATTTTAGGAATTATGCGTAATAACTGAAATTTTCAGTTTAGGAAACGTTTAGTTATTGATAGTAACTAACAGAGGAACAGGAATTATGCATAATATTTTCCAAAAAGCTACCCACCTTGCCCCGCTTTCCCCTACATAGCACATGTACAGTTGATTTAAAAAAAAAGGGACAAATTACAGTTACATAAACGTCATATTCCCATTGCTTTTCATTGATCTATGAGAACCTGAATTGCTTATCTTGTCCTGTTTTTTTGAAATCAGCTGAACATGTTATAGGCCAGTCTTTGAAAACGGTAAAAAGTGAAAAAAATTAGAACAGGATGATACCCATTGGAAAAGGAAGAAAATATAACAAAAATAAAGGGAAAAATAATTTACGGGCGATTTGAGGCCGTAAATTATTTGGATGGAAAAGGGAATAATGAAAAATTGAAAACTTTCTTCTGAGCCAATAAAATGAACGAAAATGATTTTGGCAAATGACTTTACCTTCTAAGAAAATAAAGGGTGGGTGGGTGGGGCTAGTATTTGTAAAGATAGGACTGATTTTGGCAAATGACGTACTCTCTAAGAAAATAGAAGGTGGGCGGTGGATGGGCATGAATCATAAGAAATAGAAACAATGCAGCAAGAAAAATTATTATCAGAACCCATACGAAAGAAACTGGTCGAAACTTATTTCGACAGGCCACTTTTTTCCAAATTCATCAACATATCACAGTGTAATCACACATACTCCGCCACTGTCTATGATTCGAACGCATTATGTCACGAAAACACACTTGTTTATATTTGGTGTAGTGTTCACATGTTCTTCGGAAACGAACAGGGGCGGCTCATGAATTGGGAAGTTGATGAGGCAAGGCACAAACATCAAGCAAGTCAAAATTGTGTAATTTTTCTATAGCAAAAAATCTAATTTGTATTTGATTAAAAATAACATAAACAAAAAAATTGATTTGCTTTAATTTCTGTTATTTACAGTTAGCTTCCAAAAAAAGGCGGGAAATGTCAGAAAAATGATAGATTTTATTAACGGTTTTTTAGAATTTAGGTTAAAAAACTGCCATTTATGCGTCAGAAATATGTATTTTGCTACGTCCCTCATCACAATTGAGATTAGAACGGGTGGGTCGTGCTTTATCTTTGTTTTTTTTTTTCTATTAATATAGGTACATATATAGTTTTTTGTGACCAACACAATAGTTAAGCATGTTTTCAGTTTCTTGTTGGGAAAAGAAGAATTCGTATATTAAGAAAAAATGTACAAAATATAAGCCCCGCCCACCCACCCCCTCTCTATTGTGATGATTTTTTTATTCATCGTGAGCCGAGGGCGGAGCTTAGCTGCAAAATTCTCATTTCTCTACAAGGAATTACCATGTGAAATATGTTCTTGAAAGAATAACATTTTGCAATTAAACTCCGCCGCTCAGTCTGACAACGAATAAAAAAAATCATTACAATTGAGACACGGTGGGTGGGTGGGGCTTATATTTTGCCCTTTCTTCTTAATATACGTAGTCTTCTTTTCAGAACAAAAAACTTAAAACATGTTCAAAATTTTTGTAGGGAAATATGTATATTGCAATTACGCTCTTCCCCTTGCTCTGACAACGAATAAAAATTGATCATAATTGAGAGCGGGACTTTTTTTAGTTACTTATAGTTTTATTTGAACAACACGATAATTAAATATGTTTTTAGTTTCTTGTTGGGAAAAGATTATTATATGTATTTAAAAAAATTGTACGAAATATAAACCCCGCCCACCCACCCTTTGCGTGCGTTGATAAATCGATCGTTTTAATTGAACCAAAACATGTCAAAATCTTGCTCTGTTTTCCCATTTTATATGCGTAGTGGTAGGTATACGCGTCTGACTTTTGTTCACAAAATACAAAAGTTATGTAAGAGAAAAGTCTGAAAAAGGTATTTTGTGGATTGTGAGTTTCTCTATTACTACAACAACATAATGTCATCTGAATCAGATTCCGAGATTGTTTGTACACCACTAAATATTGTCGACAAAACTAATGATAATGACTTAATGAGGCAACAGATTACCTTGTGGCAGCAAAATCTCAAAAGCGATATGAAATAAGCTTTACAAATTTTATGGACTGGAGATTAAAGAACAAAGTGCAATCGTTTTCTGAAAATGTTGTTCTCGCTTATTTTGACGAAATTTCGAAACAGTTCAAAGCATCGTCCTTATGGGCTATTTATTCAATGTTACGAAGTATGTTAATTATTATGATAAAATGTGCTTTTTTTGGTGGTCGTCGAAAAAGTATAGTACATAACTCGAATGCAAACGCCAATTCCGCACTCGTTAAATTACTGCACTCGCCCCTACGGGGCTCGTGCGCAATTTTTGAACTCGTGCGTAATAGGCTGTTTACTATTCTCGTTATGTAATATACTATTTCCTTTTATTTTTGTTATATTTTCTTATTTTTCCAATGGGTATCATCTTGTTCTAAATTTTTTTGTTCTCAAAAATTATTATCGGCCCTGGCCTATTAGGCAATATGCTTAATGACTAATATTTCAAGTATTATGCATAATTCCTGTTCCTCTGTTAGTTATTATCAATATTACCTAAACGTTTCCGTTATTGTGCATAATAACTCAAAAATTTAGTTATTACGCATAATTCCTAATGTTTCCGGTTATTATGGATAAATAACTGACAAGTTTAGTTATTACGCATAATTCCTGAAATATCTAGTTATTATGCATAATAACGTATTTCGGATATTAGCTGTAACATATACACTTTAATATCCAGTACTCGAGGCCAAAAAATCTCTAATTGATTCACGTTCTTTGATTTTCTGCATTTGAAATTGTTTTTTTACATTACTAAACAGACAGATTGTGATCAACTTTTTAATATTATCAATAATTAACGGCTGAGTCGGCGCAATTTGCCGCTGCTAACCCAGCGTGACCTCCGTTTTTTATCCGTCTGATGCCAATTTCGCGTCCTTGGTACATATTTTAACAAAAAAAGTCTCGAACTTATCAGACGGAACGTCCCCTGATCGCCCCGCGACAAAGACACAATTACCTGACGGCGGGCACTTCCAGGATATCCCATTCGACCGAAGTGTAAAACTCGGTTAAATCGATTCCAATATCCACCACGTTCGACCCCTTGATCTCGTCCACGTGCCTCAGATCCACCTGCAACACAAAATCCAATTCCCAAATCAAAAAAAACTACTACCAAATAATCCCTCCGTGTTTGTTTATTTAATGGATAATTTCCGCTGACTAATTCTTGCTTCGGCGTCTATTGCTTGTTGTTTGAACAAGCAAAAGCCCGGGCGCTTACTTCACCCATAAGCGATCGAGCTTTTACGACAACTCCTCTACTTCAATCATAAAAATGCCAGAAATGTCCGCGTTTCGCGACGTGGGAAACGGAACGGCTGGCGGGCTTTGAAAATCCGACCGCAAATAGCTAGTGTGGTTAATCTGTTGTGTATCATGAAAAATTCAACAGCGGCCGGTTATCAGAATACTTAGGGATTTTTCGATCAGAGCGGGCCTTGATTTCAATATTGGGGTGTCGGAGTGCGTTGATACGCAATACGTTTGCCAGCGGGTCGGGGATGGGGGAGATCCCTGAAGAATGGGCTTTTGGAAATGGAGCTCAAATATTTAAATTAGGGGAGAAATCGTTAGCACACTCTCCAAATCAAAAACATCAATTTTTACATGAAAACGAACGTTTCTAATAACTAAGGGAAAACACTAATTTAAAAAATACTGAACGCTTTCGTTATTTAACACAACTCGCTCGGCCAGCCGAAATCTTTCGCTCTTGTCTCCCTTTAGCCGGGCACCACGTAAATCTTAGGTCCTTACCTGGAATCCATCGTACGTCCACGATCCAAATTTCATCACACACGTCTGTTCGTCGAAGGGAAAATATTCCACATCGATTTCGCACGAGCTCTTGTAGATGGCGGGCGGCTTCCACTCCACCCTTCCGGTGTAATTGAGGGTGGCTTTGGTCGCCAAAGTAACCTCGAAGTTGCCATCCGCACTATAAATAACTTCATTAACACTTAGCAGTTGCCTTTTAGCAACTTCTGAATCAAGGCGCGCTCCGCACGCACACGAGCGATTACAAAGCAAAGAGCTCGCGGAACGAGCAAGCGGTGGCCACTCACTTGTTGTAGAGGACGATGTCGGGGCGCCAGATGTGGTCAGAGGGCACATGGAGCATCTCGACTCCGCCGTATTCCTTGGGGTCCCACTTCAGCTTGTAGTCGTACCACGACTGCGTTCAGTCATCACAAATGTCACACAAAGTAAAAAATACGCACCTGTTCCACCCACAAGTTCGTTGTCATGATTTGATTCTTGAGGTTCTGGAAGACACGAAGCGGGTAATTACAATGAAATTTTCATTGTGTTTGGGGTCGGGAAGAGGAATTGTTTTAGCTCGAATTTGAAAATTTTGTTTGAATTGTTTAACTTTTCGGCCGATATTAGACTTTCTGCGCCAATTTCCCAAAGTAAATTGAATCATGGAAAGTGTACAAATAAAAGTTAGATGGAATGGAATGCCTCGGGCAAAAACTTCTTATCATCGACGCGCAGGTTTATTGAGGGAGGATTTTTCTGGATTTTATTCATTAGCGGCTATTAGATTAGAACGCGACGAAAAATATTAACTTTGATACACAAATGGCAGGGAGCTGTTAGTTTTCACTCTGTTGTAATATACATTTTTAACAAAGCTCCAGAACGAATGCACTAAAAGCTTTTTTGTATCGATTCGTTTATGCGACAGTGCAGCCGATGTAATCCTCGAATCCCAGATGCATCATTAACTAAATACAGAAACGTAAAAGTTGCACTACAGAATAATCTTATGAACTTCACAATCCCAACTTTTGAGAACGAATTTATGAATTCTTGCTTTAATTTAATCATGCAGAGCCCTAGTGCTTATATAGTTAATGGAATTTGGGCTGTAATTGTCCAAAATTAAATGAGATAACGACTTTTTTACGTCCCCCTGATGCACTCTACTTTGTCAAGCATGTCGGATAAAAATTACGATAATAAACTTGGGGTAATGATTTGACGGCACACGAAAATGGCACAGTCGTGTGGATTCAATCTTTGCAAATTTTAAATTTAGCGATGGCTACAACAAAAACCTTTAATTACTACTGTACGTTTTAATATTCGTTGTATTCAATTAAAACTGAGGACACATTGTCAAAACTAGTTTTAATTAAAACGACGTCAAACTTCCCATACGTTGTGGCTTGTTTCGAGCAAAATTGGACGATATTAATTGCACGCCTCCAGAAACTATTCTTTAATTACTTAATTACACACCACACCATTCTTGCTCTTTATGATGCAATTTTTATTCAAATTCCATACACTACAAATTTAATTAAAAATTATGCTGCTAAGCCGGTTTTAATTAATTTTTTCGACGTTGCAGCGGAGATTCAGTCGCCGCGCGAAAACTAATCCGACTGAGATAGTTTGCTGAAGAAAATATAGTTCGTCGTGTGAATTATTGATGACGCTGGTGACGCTGATTTCTAGTCGCGTTCCAATACTGCATGCTATCATTGTTTAAGTATATTATAGTTGCACAACCTAATACAAATTTTACTTCGCCTAAATAGTGAGCTTTAGGACAAGGAATCCAGGGGGCGTGGGACAAATTTTTCGTTAACGCGCATTTTCACTACAGTGAGCGAACGTTTTAGGTTTATTTTACTCTAAATCAGATGGCGCCATCAAACATTAGCAAAGGCAAACACCCTTCACTCTGCTCTTATACGAGGAGTTATCCATAAATCCATAATTAACATTGTTCGGTAAACAGTAATGTGTATAAACATATATGTACAAAATATGAAAATATACTTGACATAAAAATATGAAGCAACGCCTTGTAACGTGATAAGAAAGAATTGAATTTAAATGAATTTGACGCATATTTTTATTTGATTATATCTGAAGACTGACAGAAACTTTCCAAGGGTTTTTAAACTGGTATAATTGTTTAGTTTTACAAGATTAAAGTAAAACAAGATTTTAAGTAAAATTTAGATTCGTGGTGTTACAAAAATATTAACACAAAATGAAAATATATGTTCAAAGTAAATAACAGAATGACATAAACTTTCGGCGTTAAATTACAAATAATTACAAGAGAGAAAAAACCGCATAAAGAACTTAAGAGGCATGTTTGTAATATCGAGTTGTTAAAGGCTGCTTTGAAGACTGTTTGTTTCTATGAAAAACAATTGCTGTTATCGGACATTTTGGTAGATTTTGTGCCAAAAATACGAGATAACTAATTGTTTCTTGAACTAGTTTCCGTAACTTCTACAATTTAAAAAGGATACGCCGTTCTGCTGTAATAAAATCTAGAATAAGGTCAAAATCACACTAATATTACATCTGATTTTGTTAACCACATGAATATAATTTACATTAAAATAAGTTACAGACATTGTTTGAAATGTTTATTATAGTTCGAAAACAAGATAAAATAAATAAATAAATTAATTAATTAATTAAATGTGCAGTTTATAAACTTCAGGACTTTAGTATAAAAATAATCATGTTTGAAGCTTTATTTTGTCTGTTCGATTTTATTGGGTGTATTGGGCCCCTCTCGGGATATAACATCGACATCAGTGCACCGACCCAACGTTCTTCAAACGATGGGATGATTTATTACTAACGTTATGCTGACCCTACACACAGCGATTTGGTTTTCGGATTTTCGACTAGATCTGCACAGTTAACTCTTTGCGCACTGCACACTGACAATACTGACATAGAGTATTTTGTTCACGGGAGCATCAAAAATATTACGCCGAAAGCACTTCTTCAACTGATAACTTGCGCGCCATTTTGTGTTTATTAATACCAATAGTGATAATGATAATTTTATAATTATCATTTTAATGAAACTGTGTTCTTCACTTCGCGAACGACAGCAAACAATTTAAAATTACCGCTAGTCAAAGCACCTGAAAATCTATCTCTCCCAAATATGTCTTTCTTGGCACGATTTGTAATGCAAAGTGTCCCTCAACATGCAATTTTTCGTCGCCTGAGAACTTGTTTGATCTACAGACCAAAGCACACTCAGGCCAATATCGGCTTTAAGCGATTTATCTATAAACCGATATTCGTTAGAGTTGATCTGATACACATCCACTACGAAGAACTAACCCATTTCGACCATTGGACTTTACAACGAATAAGTGAACAAAGTTCTTGAACATCTTAACGATTTAATACATAATGTTCCCGAATGACAAAATTTACATTTCAAATTGTATTATCAAATTACACTCTCCAAAATTCGTCACGAACAATGAAATGACGCAATCTCCAAATTTTACAATAGTAAAATTGTAGTTTCGCCCCGTTTACGGTTTATGCATCCGTGTCGAGTTTTCACCTTAGACGTCAAGATTTTTGAAAAAAAAAATCAACATTTTCCAATTTATAATGTTATTTAAATTTTAAAAAGTAGAATAGTCCTGATCTTGTGATTTATACCTAAATACGCTATTTGGATTTTTCGGCTTGTCGATTTCTCGATTTTTCAACTTTAAATGTCTCAATTTTTCAATATTTCAATTTTGGGCTTTTCCGATTCCTCCATTCCTTAAATTTTCTATTTCTCGATTTTTTTATTTTTCGATTTCTCAATCTTACGATGTTTCAATGATACGATTTCTCAATTTTTGTCCTCTTCAATTTTACGGTTTTTAAATATGTCGATTTTTTAATTTTTCAAATTTTCACGTTTTTAAATTTTCAGTTTGCCGATTTCTAACGTATTTTTTTTATTTGTCCATTTCTGGACTTTTAAGTTTCGATTTTTCACATCTTCAATTCTTCAATTTTTCGATTTTTTAAGATTACGATTTTTCAATTTTGCTTTTTTAGATTTTCGATTTCTCAATTTTTCAATTTTTTAATTTCTCAATTTTTTGAATATTTCTTTCAGTTATGAGATTTTTTCAATATTTCAATTTTTCGACTTTTCGATTTGTGAATTGATGGATTTTTTTTGATTTCTCGCTTTTTTCTTTTTGGATTTTCAATTTATTGTAAACTTTAGATTTTTCAATTCTGGGACTGTTTAATGCTTCGATTTCTCAATTTTTAAACTTTTCGATGTTTTAATATTTCATTTTTTAAAATTCTAGGTTTTTCGATATCTCGAGTTTTCAGTTCTTCTATATTTCAATTTTTCAATTTTTCGATTTTTTGAATTTTAATTTTTGATTTTCCAGTTTTTCTTTTTTAAAATTTTTCGATTATTCAATTTTTTAATTTCTCAATTTATCGAATTCAGATGTTTCGTTGTTTTGATTGTTCAATTTCTCAATTTTTCAATTTTTAACTTTCCATTTCGGCTTCCGACTCCTCAATTTCTCGATCCTCCGATTTTTCGATTTCTCGAAGTCTCAGTTTTTGAATTTTTCGATGTTTCGATTTTTGGATTTCTCGGTTTTTCGATTTTTTTCTTTTGAGCTTTTCAATTTCTGGATTTTCCAATTTTTCAATGCCCCGATTTTTCAATTTTTCAAATTGAATTGGATCTCTCGATTCTTCAATTTTGCGATATTTTAATTATTCATTGTTTTAAATTTTAGTTTTTTCGATTTCTTGATTTTTTGACTTTTCAGTTCTTCAGTATTTAAATTTTTCAATTTTTCAAATTTTTGCGTTAAATTTTCAGTTTTCTGATTTCTCAATTAATCTATTTTTGATTTTCCCACTTCTCAAAGTTTCGATTTTTCAGTTCTTCAATTCTTCGATTTTTCGACTTCGCTTTATTGGTTTGTAGATTTCTCAATTTTTGAATATTTCTTTCAGTTTTGATATTTTTTAATACTTCGATTCTTTCATTTTTCGACTTCTAGTTTTTTCTATTTTTTATTTTTGGATTTTCAGTTTTTTGTTTTTTATTTCAATTTCTCAATTTTTCAACTTTTTCATATTTTAATTATTAAATTTCTAGATTTTTCGGTTCCTCGAGTTTCCAGTTCTATATTTTAATTTTTTAAATTTCCGAATGTTTAAATTTTTTGAGATCTCAATTCATTGAGATTCGGATGTTTCGATGTTTTGATTATTCAATCTCTCGCTTTATCAATTTTTCCATATTTAAGTTTTCGATTTTTTGATTTTGGCCTACTTCGGTTTCTCAATTTTTTGATTTTTCGACTTCTCGATTTTTCGACTCCTCGATTTTTTTTGTCTTTTGATTTTTCGATTTCTCGATGTCTCAATTTTTGAATTTTACAATGTTTCGATTTTTCGATTTGTTGGTTTTTCAATTTTTTGCTTTCGGTTTCTCGATTTTTCGATGTTTCGATTTTTGATTTATCCGATTTTTCGATTGTCCAATTTTTTAAATTCTCGACTTCTCGATTCGTTGATTTTTCAGTTTTTCGATTATTAAATTTTAGATTTTTTTTTTGATTTTTTGATGTTTGGATTTCTCCACTTTTCAGTTTTAGGATATTTTAACTTTTCAATGTTTTAAATTTTAGAGTTTTCGATTTTTCAGTTCTTCAATATTTTTTTATTTTTCAAATTTTGACGTTTCTGAATTTTTAGTTTTCGGATTTCTCAATTAATCTATTTTTTTATATTCCCATTTCTCCACTTCCTAAAGTTTCGATTTTTCAGTTCTTCAGTTCTTCAATTTTTCGATTATTCAGGGTTTTTGATTTTTCAATTTTTCGATTTTTTAAAGTTTGCGATTTTTAAACTCTGCTTTTTTGACTTTTTTGTTTCTCAATTTTTTAATTTCCTAATTTTTTGATATTTCGTTCAATTTTGTGTTTTTTCAGTTTTTCGATTTCTCAATTTTAACTTTTCAATTTTTGAAATTATTATTTTTTTTCGATTTTTTGAGTTTTCAGTTGTCTATATTTCAATTTTTCAATTTTCGGAATTTTTAAATTTTCGATTGTCCAATTTTTTTTATTTTTCGATTTTCCAATTTTTCGATGTTTCGATTTTTGAATTAACCGATTGTTCAATTTCTCGATTTTTAAATTTTAGATTTTCCAATTTTAATTTTTTTGATTTTTTTATGTTTCGATTTCTCGATTTTACAATTTTCCCATATTTGAATTTTTCAGTGTTTTAAATTTTCGATTTCGAGGATTTACTGTGTTATAGTAGTCATCAGTCATTACTCATCAAGAACGATTATTGCTGTGCGTTAAAATGCCTACATACTGATAAGCACGTACATACAAAACACATTTAAGGCTGTTTTAGTATAATTTTTGCAATTTTAAATTTATTTCTTGATGTCTAATAAATCGTATAGATTTTAAATGGTGATGAATATTTTGTGATACAATCTTAGGATAAAATGCATTTTAGTTTCAAAAATAATATGTATTTAATGATTTGACTACTGTTAATAAAAAAATACGTAAGAAGATGTTCATATTGAATTAATTTGGTGTTCATAGTTTGATGATAATCCGTAGTTTCTCTGGAGGCAAATTAGATGACTTGTTACTTATTAATTAAAGTAGTGGTCGTTTAATTTCGTACCTTTAAAGTGGACGAAGGGACGCATATTTGTTAGCCATGCAGTTCATGGAAAATAGGTATACCGCAATAATATTAAATTTTTGTTACCTTAACCTTGAAACAGGTATGCACTACATATACATATATTACATATATGTAAAGTCTTCAACACGTACGTTTGCCTATTTTGTGACTGCTCCCCGTACAACGTACTGATTAATACGTCCGTTTACTACCTTATCGACATCACGTGCTTACGGACTATTTTTACCCCCTTTCGTAAGGTACCGCCACTTCATAGTGAAGCGAATGAGATGTAAAATATATATTCATTCTTTTCTACATGGGGAAGTGATTGTCCGTATAGGTTGTCCAACTATAATATACTTAAACAATGATGCTATGTAAGAAGGAAAAAGAAAAATACTTACGACGTCGATCAGCTGCGACAGTTTCAGCTTTATCTTCACTGTCAGCGCATCGGAGACGTTGACCACCGGTCGCACCAGCTTATTGTAGTTGGATAGCAGGTCGTCATACAGTCGTTTCGCGTCCGGATTACCCGAACATCCTGCAACCAGAACACTCTTGACGTGAAAAAGGTTAATAATGCAGGAAGACAAATGACACGATTCCCCTAATTCACCAACCCTTCCATTAAAAAATCCGTTGAGCGTTCCCTCCGGAATAAATCAAAAACGCGAAGCACCAGTTAGATAAAGAATATAATTTTGAAAATGATTAATGTTATAGCGGCGTCAACAAAAGCACAGAGCGCGATTTTTCCGAATTAATTGACGCGGCGAATTTATAGAAGTGCGTTTTTGCCGCGTTCCCTCGACCATAAATAAGTAAGTAGTCGATTCAGATTTTCGAAAAGTCACCGGATTTAGCGGGTTAATCCAGGCCCGTGTTTAGGTTGATTGAAGTCATAATTTATTTAGCGTTGAAGGAGTTGTGGGACGCTTAATTGGAAGCAACGGTGCACCGGGGGGTGCTAATTAATTTTAGTGCAATGGTAGGTTTCGGCGGCCGTAGAAATCTCCAAAACTAGGGTCGTGAAATAATAATAATCGGGTTAAAACGCTGTTTGTTTGCCAAAAGGATTGAGTTTTTTGGGTCTTTAAAACTCGCGTCGTTAATAAAATTAGCGTTAAGACGAAAGAAGTTCTAATAAATGGCGCAGTCGCTAGGATCACGAATTAAATCAAGTCGGGTCAAACTTCAAACACGGCTTTCGCAATTTATCATGCGTAATAATTCCGCATTCATCGAATTCGATGGGTTAACCCTTTCTCTAGAGGCAGGACTTTGGAACAAACACCCAATAAGCCGCTCAATAATCTCGTCAGCTGGCGGATATTGAGATACCAGGAAAAAGTCGTTCCAAATAAACAAGTTGTGACATTAGATGTTTGACCGTGGCTCCCGGACCGTAAAAAATGATAATTTACGGCCGAGCAAGACGCTCGCAAAATATTGTTTGATGTGCGAAGGTTGACAATGAGAGAAACGGCGCTAACTCGGTATTGACCAATTCGGGGAGGAATGAGCGCGTAAATACTTCCCGTGACGGGTTTTGCAGGAACGTGGTAAAGGATCAAGCGTTATCCTGTATCAATAAAATCTACGGCGCTTCCGGTCGCTGACGGTTTTACCTGAAAGCGCTCGCAGGTTATTGGATAAAAATGGATAGCCGTACTTTGAGAGATTGGCCTTCGCGGCGCAAGATTGTAAAGATATGGCAATTCTTTGCTTTTACGGACGTGTTTTCGTCCGGCGGGGAAATTTTTCATCCCGAGAAAGTCGTGAGTTAAAAAAATAATAATCATCTTCGTATGCTTCACTCGCTCAGGTGTGATCCCGAAGATAACTCCCAAACTTTCCCCACTTCCTACACTCCGCCTTAGATCATATAATAAATAGATACCACCATGCCGTGTTCTTTTCCTAGGAAAGCCTGTGACGACATCCTCCTGTCACACATCTCTCTCGTGCATGGAGGGATTACAATGAAGCTATCCTTGCCTGATCACTATTTGAATTTTGCGCGCCTAAATTTTAGGAAGTATGTCTGAACTAACTTCGTACGGAAGATGTTGACAGTTTGATTTTATAAATAATTCACAGTAGATAACGAAAGAAATAGTAAATTATTGGGCAGCAATTGTGATCCTTTATGATTACATCACTTAAAATAGGATCTTTGTTCTAAATTCTAAAATTATTTTTTGTACAACAACTCGAAAGAGAGGTTAGAAGAAACATCTGTCAAAATCGATTTGTTGCGCTGGTCCGATACAAGGATGGAAGTGAAATAGACATATACAGATGAAATGCATATAACAAAGATGAAGATGTGGTGATCACACAAGGGTAGCATTATACTACTCCCCTTGACGTAGAAAACGACAACAGATAGCTTCATGTCTAGTCACAGCTTTCAGTTTGAGTATTGGTATCTATTTATTATATGATCTAAGCACTCCGCACACTTCCGTCTACCAGCTTTTAACTACCCGCAACTACCGTCATCATACTATCTATTTACTAATATCAAAGTTAAATTAATATCGATCAAGCACAGACAATTTGCGACTAAACAAAATCGAAAAATTGATTGACTGACTGACTGACTGACTGACTGACTGACTGACTAAAAGCTGATAAGTCGAAAAATCGGAAAATTGAAAAATCCCAAAACAGAAATAGTGAAAAATTGATAACTAGAAAAATTGAGAAATTGAAACATTTAAAATCGGAAAAAGATTGAAAAAATGAAAAATCCAAAATTGACAAATAGAGAAAACAAAAAATAAATCGAAAAATAAAATAATGGAAAAAACGAAAAATAGAAAAATCGAGAAATAGAAAAATTGAAAAATCCAAACAATCCAAGAACCAAAAAAACCAAAAATAGAGAAATCGAAAAATTTAAAATCGAGATAAAGAAACATCAGAAAATCGAGAAATTGAAAAATCTATAAACTAAAAAATTGAAAAATCGAAGAAATTGTAAAATCGAAAGTTTGAGAACTTGAAAAAAAGAAAAATCTAAAATTTAAAAGGTCGAAATATTGAAAAATCGAAATATCAAAAAACCGAAAAAATGAGAAATCAAAAAATCGAAAAACTGAAAATTCCAGAAATTGAAACAACAAAAATCCAAATATAAAAAGCTGAAAAGTCAAAAAATCGGAAGATCGAAAAATTAGAAAAACTAAAAATATAAAATTGAAAAAATTGAAAATTTGGATAATCGAATATGTAAGTAAAAAATCGGAAAATTGGAAAATTGAGAATCGACAAAAACGAAGAATTGCAAAATTTAAAATGTTAAAAATTGAAAAGCCGGAATGGGTCAAAATCGAGAAATGGAAAAACCGAAAAATTCAATTTTAAAAATCGAAAAATTGAAACGAAAAACTGGAAAATCAAAAGTCAAAAAATAGAGAAATCGAAAAATTTAAAATCGAGATAAAGAAACATCAGAAAATCGAGAAATTGAAAAATCTATAAACCAAAAAATTGAAAAATCGAAGAAATTGTAAAATCGAAAGTTTGAGAACTTGAAAAAAAGAAAAATCTAAAATTTAAAAGGTCGAAATATTGAAAAATCGAAATATCAAAAAACCGAAAAAATGAGAAATCAAAAAATCGAAAAACTGAAAATTCCAGAAATTGAAACAACAAAAATCCAAATATAAAAAGCTGAAAAGTCAAAAAATCGGAAGATCGAAAAATTAGAAAAACTAAAAATATAAAATTGAAAAAATTGAAAATTTGGATAATCGAATATGTAAGTAAAAAATCGGAAAATTGGAAAATTGAGAATCGACAAAATCGAAGAATTGCAAAATTTAAAATTTTAAAAATTGAAAAGCCGGAGTGGGTCAAAATCGAGAAATGGAAAAATCGAAAAATTCAATTTTAAAAATCGAAAAATTGAAACGAAAAACTGGAAAATCAAAAGTCAAAAAATCGAGAAATCGAAAAATTGACAATGGAAAAATCGAAAAATTGACAATGGAAACATCGAGAAATCAGAAAATGGAAAAGTCGAAAAATTCAAAAATTCAAAACCAAGAAATCGAAAAATCGAGCATTACGAAGAAAAATTTACAAATCAAAAAACTGAATAATCGAAAACTCGAAAACCCGAAAAATGGAAAGATTCAAAAAATCAAAACTCCAAAAATCGAAAAATTGAAATAACCGAAAAATCAAAAATCAAGACATCGGGAAATCGAAAAAGTAAGAAATCAAGAAGTCGAAAATTCAATCGAAAAATCTAAAAGTCGAAAAATTGAGAAATCGAAAAGTCCATAAATTGAAAAATTGAAAAATCGTGAAACGAAAAAATTAAAAATTTGGAAACTAATACAATTTGAAAAATCGAAAAATCGGGACATCAAAAAATCGAAAAATTGAAGGTTCGAAAAATCGAGAAATCGAAAAATAAAATAAAAGTAGAAATGAATCGTAACATTGAAAAATCGAAAAATCGAAACACCGAAAAATTGAAAAATCAAGAATTCGAGACATCAAAAAAATCGAGAAACCGACCAATCGAAAAATGGAAAAAATCGAAAAATTCAAAAATTCAAAACCAAGGAATCGAAAAATCGAGAATTCCGAAGAGAAATTTACAAATCAAAAAATTGAATAATCGAAAAATGGAAAACTCGAAAAATGGGAAGATGAAAAGCTCAAAAAATCCAAACTCCAAAAATCGAAAAATTGAAATGACCGAAAAATCAAAAATCAAGACTTCGAGAAATCGAAAAATTAAGAAATCAAAAAGTCGAAATGCAATCGAAAAATCTTAAAGTCGTAAAACTGAGAATTTGAAAAATCGAAAAGCTAGAAAATCCCTAAACTGAAATATGTTTCAAAAATTCGAGAAATCAAAAAGTCTATCAATTGAGAAATCGAAAAATCGTGAAATGAAAAAATTAAAAAATTGGAACATTAAGAAGTCTGATACAATTTGAAAAATCGAAAAATTAAATAATCGCATAACCAAGAAATCATAGAGATTGGCCTTCGCGGCGCAAGATTGTAAAGATATGGCAATTCTTTGCTTTTACGAACGTGTTTTCGTCCGGCGGGGAAATTTTTCATCCCGAGAAAGTCGTGAGTTAAAAAAAATAATAATCATCTTCGTATGCTTCACTCGCTCAGGTGTGATCCCGAAGATAACTCCCAAACTTTCCCCACTTCCTACACTCCCCACACTTCCGTCTACCAGCTTTTAACTACCCGCAACTACCGTCATCATACTATCTATTTACTAATATCAAAGTTAAATTAATATCGATCAAGCACAGACAATTTGCGACTAAACCAATATGTACTTCGAGGTAAATCGTAAAATCGTAAAATCGCAAAATTCAAAAATCGACAAACCGAAAAGTCACAAAATCGAAAAATTGATTGACTGACTCACTGACTGACTGACTAAAAGCTGAAAAGTCGAAAAATCCGAAAATTGAAAAATCCCAAAACAGAAATGGTGAAAAATTGACAACTAGAAAAGTTGAGAAATTGAAACATTTAAAATCGGAAAAAGATTGAAAAAATGGAAAATCCAAAATTGACAAATAGAGAAAACAAAAAATAAATCGAAAAATAAAATAATGGAAAAAACGAAAAATAGAAAAATCGAGAAATAGAAAAATTGAAAAATCCAAACAATCCAAGAACCAAAAAAACCAAAAATAGAAAAATCGAAAAATTTAAAATCGAGATAGAGAAACATCAGAAAATCGACAAATTGAAAAATCTATAAACCAAAAAATTGAAAAATCGAAGAAATTGTAAACTCGAAAATTTGAGAACTTGAAAAAAAGAAAAATCTAAATTTTAAAAGGTCGAAATATTGAAAAATCGAAATATCAAAAAACCGAAAAAATGAGAAATCAAAAAATCGAAAAACTGAAAATTCCAAAAATTGAAACAACAAAAATCCAAATATAAAAACTGAAAAGTCAAAAAATCGGAAGATCGAAAAATTAGAAAAACTAAAAATATAAAATTGAAAAAATTGAAAATTTGGATAATCGAATATGTAAGTAAAAAATCGGAAATTTGGAAAATTGAGAATCGACAAAATCGAAGAATTGCAAAATTTAAAATTTTAAAAATTGAAAAGCCGGAATGGGTCAAAATCGAGAAGTGAAAAATCGAAAAATTCAATTTTAAAAATCGAAAAACTGAAACGAAAAACTGGAAAATCAAAAGTCAAAAAATAGAGAAATCGAAAAATTTAAAATCGAGATAAAGAAACATCAGAAAATCGAGAAATTGAAAAATCTATAAACCAAAAAATTGAAAAATCGAAGAAATTGTAAAATCGAAAGTTTGAGAACTTGAAAAAAAGAAAAATCTAAAATTTAAAAGGTCGAAATATTGAAAAATCGAAATATCAAAAAACCGAAAAAATGAGGAATCAAAAAATCGAAAAACTGAAAAGTCCAGAAATTGAAACAAAAAAAATCCAAATATAAAAAGCTGAAAAGTCAAAAAATCGGAAGATCGAAAAATTAGAAAAACTAAAAATATAAAATTGAAAAAATTGAAAATTTGGATAATCGAATATGTAAGCAAAAAATCGGAAAATTGGAAAATTGAGAATCGACAAAATCGAAGAATTGCAAAATTTAAAATTTTAAAAATTGAAAAGCCGGAATGGGTCAAAATCGAGAAATGGAAAAATCGAAAAATTCAATTTTAAAAATCGAAAAATTGAAACGAAAAACTGGAAAATCAAAAGTCAAAAAATAGAGAAATCGAAAAATTTAAAATCTAGATAAAGAAACATCAGAAAATCGAGAAATTTAAAAATCTATAAACCAAAAAATTGGAAAATCGAAGAAATTGTAAAATCGAAAGTTTGAGAACTTGAAAAAAAGAAAAATCTAAATTTTAAAAGGTCGAAATATTGAAAAATCGAAATATCAAAAAACCGAAAAAATGAGAAATCAAAAAATCGAAAAACTGAAAATTACAGAAATTGAAACAACAAAAATCCAAATATAAAAAGCTGAAAAGTCAAAAAATCGGAAGATCGAAAAATTAGAAAAACTAAAAATACAAAATTGAAAAAATTGAAAATTTGGATAATTGAATATGTAAGTAAAAAATCGGAAAATTGGAAAATTGAGAATCGACAAAATCGAAGAATTGCAAAATTTAAAATTTTAAAAATTGAAAAGCCAGAATGGGTCGATTAAAAATCGAAAAATTGAAACGAAAAACCGGAAAATCAAAAGTCAAAAAATCGAGAAATTGAAAAATTGACAATGGAAAAATCGAAAAATTGACAATCGAAACATCGAGAAATCAGAAAATAAAAAAGTCGAAAAATTCAAAAATTCAAAACCAAGAAATCGAAAAATCGAGCATTACGAAGAAAAATTTACAAATCAAAAAACTGAATAATCGAAAACTCGAAAACCCGAAAAATGGAAAGATTCAAAAAATCAAAACTCCAAAAATCGAAAAATTGAAATAACCGAAAAATCAAAAATCAAGACATCGGGAAATCGAAAAAGTAAGAAATCAAGAAGTCGAAAATTCAGTCGAAAAATCTAAAAGTCGAAAAATTGAGAAATCGAAAAGTTCATAAATTGAAAAATTGAAAAATCGTGAAACGAAAAAATTAAAAAATTGAAAACTAATACAATTTGAAAAATCGAAAAATCGGGACATCAAAAAATCGAAAAATTGAAGGTTCGAAAAATCGAGAAATCGAAAAATAAAATAAAAGTAGAAAACTCGAAAAATGGGAAGATTGAAAAGCTCAAAAAATCCAAACTCCAAAAATCGAAAAATTGAAATAAACAACCGAAAAATCAAAAATCATGACTTCGAGAAATCGAAAAATTAAGAAATCAAAAAGTCGAAATGCAATCGAAAAATCTTAAAGTCGTAAAACTGAGAATTTGAAAAATCGAAAAGCTAGAAAATCCCTAAACTGAAATATGTTTCAAAAATTCGAGAAATCAAAAACTCTATCAATTCAGAAATCGAAAAATCGTGAAATGAAAAAATTAAAAAATTGGAACATTAAGAAGTCTGATACAATTTGAAAAATCGAAAAATTAAATAATCGCATAACCAAGAAATCATAGAGATTGGCCTTCGCGGCGCAAGATTGTAAAGATATGGCAATTCTTTGCTTTTACTGACGTGTTTTCGTCCGGCGGGGAAATTTTTCATCCCGAGAAAGTCGTGAGTTAAAAAAAATAATAATCATCTTCGTATATGCTTCACTCGCTCAGGTGTGATCCCGAAGATAACTCCCAAACTTTCCCCACTTCCTACACTCCCCACACTTCCGTCTACCAGCTTTTAACTACCCGCAACTACCGTCATCATGCTATCTATTTACTAATATCAAAGTTAAATTAATATCGATCAAGCACAGACAATTTGCGACTAAACCAATATGTACTTCGAGGTATTTCGCGGTTTCGAGACGCAGTTAATTACTCTCTCGGTTACTCACGCTGCTAAAAAGACACAGAAAAATTTTTAATCCGACCATTCGCGATCGTGCGCGCTTTTGACAACTTTTCAATCCGGTTCGAGCCGGTTTCAGTCGATAAATCCGGGTTTTATCGCTTTGTTTTATTTTTGTGTAAATTGTCTCTCATACGGTCTAAGGGCCTTGTCATTGCACATAAAGTATTTACGGGGTGAGGCCAAATTAAGTGGCGCTGCGGAAATGGGGGTCTTGAGACGGCGGAGGGAATGGAATGGACGTTAATGTATTATACGCAGCACGCTATGCCAAGGTAAAGTTCCCTTTTGTATTTTTCTTCTGTATTTATGGAAGCTTGTAGTGGTACTGGACTTCTCTGAAGATGGGTGGCTTTAATTTCGCTTTTTATTTTATGTAGACTCGAAAGCGAGCTCGTTTTGAGGGTGTGACGTCACGCAAATCGTTACAGTACGGAAAGTCAAATGTCTGTAGCATCGAATATTTTATTCTATCTTAATATAGATTTTACTAGGCGACACTCATTGTACTTTTAACAATAGCTGAATTTAACATTGCCTCGCCTCTTTCACAAAAGCTAATAAAGTAAAATGTTCACTTCACATAGATAATTATAATTTCCCTGCACAATACAATACAATACAGCTTCACCACCAAAAATACAATAAACGACAATCTCGCAAATAATTCGTGATTTTCACAAAAAAAAACAAAACAAAAGCAATCGATCCCCCCATTCCGCTAAATTTCCATCCCCGGGGCCCGTTAAAATCATAATAAACGCACCCGCAATTTCGACATTACCATCAAACCCAAATTTACCTGACACGAGCACCAGAACGATCCACAGAATCCCCACCAAGCTCTTCATCCTGCAAAGGCCGAATCATGTCCACATGACGGAGCTTCCAGTTTTCTGCAACAGAAGCCCTTAATTAAGACTCGCAAGACACAATATTATTTCGCAAACGTCAGCGCTAAATCCCGGGATCAAATCGCGAAAAACCGAACCGTATATGAGAGAAGTTTTATTCGTCGAGGTACGTTTTTTGTTGGTGGAAAGGGCGTGTTTTGTTTCGGGTCTCGCTGTTTATCAGTTCCTTTAATTAACTGATGAAGAAATAAAGACGCGGACGTTTTCGGCGTTTTCCGAACCTGGGCGCTCTCATTATTATTTTAATTAATTGTTTTCGCTGGCGGAAGACGCGGAGGTGAGGGCTTTGGATAAAATCCAATTTCGGGAATAATGCGAGCACTTGAATTTTGACGTTTAATTTGAGGCGAAATGGCGTTAATTTATTTGATACGGGGAGGGGGCGATTTGCTTAAAGAGAAGACGTGATTCAAAAATCGGGTTAAAGTTGCAATTTTTCCCACTTTATATTTTCTCAAATTTTATTTTTCATGGTAACGGCTATACGTAGAAAATTTAAGTTATAAATTGGAATTTCCATTGAATTATTGCCTCAGAAGCAGAATATTCTGTTAAACATGTGTTATATTTTGACTATAGTGGTTTATCTCTAACTGGGTTAGATCGGAGTAGAGCAGAACCTATTGCGGTTCTAAAATCTAATGTTTCCTAATTTTGTCACCCGTCATACTTGCCTGAATACCGAACAATAATAAATACAGTGATGAAAGTAAAATTTATATCATTTTTGTGTTAATGTTTTATATTTTCTCCCTTTTTTCAGAATTTTTCGTTTTACAACTTTCATTTTTTCAATTTTTTAATTGCGTGACGAAATTTTTGCAATTTTTCGATATTACAATTTTTAATTTTTCCATTTTTCGAATGAAGAAACAAAAAACTAAAAAATCGAAAAATTGAAAAATTCCAAAACTGAAATAACGAAAAATTGGGAAATAGGAATAGGCCAAAGTCGAAAGTAAAAACTGAAAAATTTAAAATTAAAAAAATGTATTCAAAAATCAACAAATCGATAAATTGGTTGCAAAAAATCGAAACATCAAAATGTCGAAAAACCTAGGTATATATATTTAGATAAATTGAAAAATCGAAAATCCAAAATTTAAAAATTCGCAAAAATTGAAAAACCAAAAAAAAAGGTGAAACGACGAAAAAATGGGAAATAGAAATAGGTCAAGTCGAGAAGTTAAAAATTGAAAAATTTAAAATTAAAAATCGATAAATCGAAATATTCAAAAATCAAAAAATCGAAAACTTGAACAATCAAAAAAAACAAAACATCACATCTCGAAAAATCGAGAAATAGATAAATTGAAAAATCGAAATATCAAAAATTTTAAAAACAGAAAAATCTAAAACCGAGAAGTCGAAAGATTGAGAAACACCTAATTTTTCACAAAAGTTTCAATTTTTGTTTCTTCAATTTTTTTTGCAATTTATTACTTTTTCAATTTTTCGAGATTCCGATTTTTAATTTTTCAATTTTTCAGTTCGTCAACCTTTAATTTTGAGATTTTTCATTTTTTCGTTTCCACAATTTCTCAAGTGCTTGATTTTTATTTCTCATTTTCCTGATTTTTTTAATTCCCATTTTTTTAATTTTATATCACAATTTTTCGTCGTTTATTCAATTTTTCGATCTTTGGTTTTCAATTCCTCGATTTTGCAATTTTTAAATGTTTCAATTTTGCATTTCTGGATTTCCAAAATTAAAAAAAATTGAAGAGTCGAAACATCAACAATGGAAAAACGAAAAAATTCAAAAATCTAAAATTTAAAAATCGAAAAATTGAAAAATAGGAAAGTCGAAAAATCGAGTAATCGAAAATCCAAAATTTAAAAATTCGCAAAAACTGAAAAATCAAAATACTGAAAAATAAAAAATTGAAGAGTCGAAACATCAAAAATGGAAAAACGCAAAAATTCAAAAATCGGAAAATCGAAAAATCGGGAAATCGAAAATCCGAAATTTAAAAATTCACAAAAGTTGAAAAATCGAAAAAATGAGGAAAGAATAAGAAATAGAAATAGGCCAAAGTCGAAATGTTAAAAATTGAAAAATTTAAAATTCAAAAATCGATAAATCGAAATACGAATTCAAAAATCAAAAAATCGGTAAATTGAACAATCAAACATTTTAAAAATAGAAAAATCCAAAACCAAGAATCCGAAAAATTTAAAACATTAAAACTATAAAATTTCGAAAAATTGAAAAATCGGAAAATCTAAAATTTCGAAGACTGAGTCTCACTTTTCCAATTCTTTACTTTAAAATTTTTAAATTTTTCGCTTTTGTAATTTTTGGATTTCCAATTATCCGACTTTCCGATTTCGAAAAATTTCAAATTTATAAATATGAAAATCAAAAAACTGAAAAATAAAAAATTTTAATATTCGAAAAACTGAAAAATCGGAAAATTGAAAAATTCCAAAACTGGAATAACGAAAAATTGGGAAATAGAAATAGGCCAAAGTCGAAAAGTTAGAAATTGAAAAATTTTAACTAAAAAAATTCGTGAAATCGACATATTCAAAAATAAAAAATCGAGAAATTAGAACAATAAAAATATCGAAACATCAAAATCTCGAAAAATTGGGAAATAGAAATAGGCCAAAGTCGAAAAGTTAAAAATTGAAAAATTTAAAGTAAAAAAATCGATAAATCGAAATACGATTTGAAAAATCAAAAAATCGATAAATTGAACAATCAGAAATTTTAAAAATCGAACAATCCAAACAAGCAGCCCAAAAATTTAAAGATTGAGAGATCGAAAAACCGGAATCGAATAAAAAATTGAAAATCTTAGAACTATAAAATTTCCAAAAATTGGAAAATCGAAGAACTGAAAAACCGATAAATCTAAAATTTCGAAGATTGAGTTTCTCACTTCTCCAATTTTTCACTTTTAAATTTTTAAATTTTTCAATTTTGTAATTTTTGGATTTCCAATTATCCGATTTTCCGATTTCGAAAAATTTCAAATTTATAAATATGAAAAATCAAAAAACTGAAAAATAAAAAATTTTAATATTCGAAAAACTGAAAAATCGGAAAATTGAAAAATTCCAAAACTGGAATGACGAAAAATTGGGAAATAGAAATAGGCCAAAGTCGAAAAGTTAAAAATTGTGAAATCGAAATATTCAAACATAAAAAATCGAGAAATTAGAACAATAAAAATATCGAAACATCAAAATCTCGAAAAATCGGGAAATCGAAAATCCAAAAATTAAAAATTCTCAAAAATTGAAAAATCGAAAAAATTAAGAAACAAAAAACTAAAAAATGAAGAAACTGAAAAATTCCAAAATTGAAATGATGAAAAATTAGGAAATAGAAGTAGGCCAAGTCGAAAAGTTAAAAATTGAAAAATTTAAAATAAAAAAAATCGATAAATCGAAATACGAATTCAAAAATCAAAAAATCGAAAAATCCAAGACCAAGAAGCCCAAAAATTGAAAGATTGAGAAATCGAAAAACCGGAATCGAATAAAAAATGGAAAATCTTAGAACTATAAAATTTCCAAAAATTGGAAAATCGAAGAATCTAAAATTTCGAAGATTGAGTTTATCACTTCTCCAATTTTTCACTTTTAAATTTTTAAATTTTTCAATTTTGCAATTTTTGGATTTCGAAAAATTTCAAATTTATAAATATGAAAAATCAAAAAACTGAAAAATGAAAAAATTTCATATTCGACTAACTGAAAAATCGAAAAATTGAAAAATAAAAAATTGAGAAATTAGAATAATAAAAACATCGATAAATCAAACATTTTTAAATCGAAAAATCTAAAACCGAAAAGTCGAAAAATCGGAACCTTGAGAAACTTCAAAAAATCGAAAAACCAAAAATTAAAAAACTTCGAAAAATTGAAAACTCGAAGAACTATAAAATCGAAAAATATAAAATTTTGAAGATTTAATTCCTCGTTTAATAAAAAAATAAAAATAAAAATTTTGCATAAAAAAGTCGATAAAGAAAGAGAAAGTAGTCGCCCGTTTCCGTAACTCTGTCTGTCAGAACAAAAACAAGTTTTCTGACCATATAACTTCTTTTTTTAAACAACGGGCTCAATAATTAAGCCCCATCCACCCTCCCCTATCTCACTTGTGATGAATTTTTTATTCGTTGTCAGATAGAGGGGCGGAGTTTAATTACAAAATCCACATTTTTCTATAAAAATTTACTATTTGAAACATGTTTTAAGTTTCCTCTTCTTCTCTTCAATTGAGGTAGTACTTTTTTATATAAAATTAATTACCGAAATGGAGGCGGATGGGTGGGAAGGGTTTATTATGTTCTTCTGCAGAATGGGGTAGTAAGTAACTGATAGAAACAAGGCTGTAAAAAAAGCGTTAATCGTAACTTTTTGTTGTATATACTATTTGTTATAAGATTTATTTCTTATTTTAGAAGAAAAAAAAAGAGAACGGGTTGGTGGGCGAGGTTAAGTTTAACTTTTTCCAAGAGAGTCTAATAGGCAGGCACTTTTTTCCCTAACCGTCCAAATTTTCACAAAAACATGCACAGTATAATAACAGTTTACTATTAGCGTGATATATTTCGGTCGTGATCTAGTGGATAAGAGTTGGGAACGCGGATCAGAAATCGCGCGTTCGATGCCAGTGTTTGCCTTTGTTTTTTTTCTTTTTTTTTTATAACAAAATAAATAGATTTAACTTTTTTAACGGATTTTAAGTTGTCTCTGAATACGTGTCGGTTGAATGTTGTGTAGAACGAATGGTTTACCCTTTTACTTCCTGGGCGTAAGCTAAGTTCATCCGACGACCTCACACTTACATGTTTTCTCGACGTTTCATGACCACTGGAGTAAAAAAAAAGTACACCGGCTGCTCTGAATTAATTTTGGTGATTATTATTTAGAAATATGTACATACATTTAAAAAAGTGAAAGAAGTCCGTTTTGGATGATTCAGAGGTCGTTTGAGAGCGGGGTTTTCTCAATATTTACAATAG